TATATATATATATATATATATATATAATATGAAGAAAAAGTCTTCTCATTTTAATTTGCATATCGTACCGCATTGAAAAAATGACAATGTTTAATAAATGTTTCAAAATATTTTCCAAATGGCTTTTGGACTCTTCACAGTTTACAACTTGCGTTGGTTTTTTTTTTTTTAATAAAAAAACATGTATAACTCCTTTATATTTAATCCATTTCTATAAAAAAAACAAAAAAAAAACTATTTTCAATCCCATATTTTAGATGAAAATTAAACCATAATTCTTAATTAAAGAGATCAAGCACTAATCTTGTAACACTATAGGTTGAGGTTAGGTATAGGGTTGCTAAGGATTTAGTGACCTTAGGGGTAAAAGGTATTTAAGGTTTTATTTTGAGTTGGAGTTCATTATCTCTAAACTCAACAGAGTCTAAAAAGAAGCTTTAGAAAGAAGAACTTTTGGTTTATGAGCTCTATTATCCCCAAAATTCCTCTGTTTTGAATCCTTTTCTTTCCTAGATCCCTAATCTCTTCTTTCTTCTCTTGAATTCAGGCTCAAGAGCTTGAATTGTTGTGGTTGAGAACATTGTGGTGCTTGGGGTTGGCAGATTTCTCCTTTCTTCTTCCCCTACTCTTGGCTGTTTTAGGCTTGAATTCAGGTAAGGGAAGCTAGAACATTAGATTTTTTGTTGAATCATTGAACTATTGAATGAATTAAAAGCTTATTGTTGAAAAAATCTCTTAAATTCGTAGCTATGAGGAAGGATTTAAGCGGTTGCATGTTGAATATTGGGGGTTTTGAGGTTTTGTTGCTTGTAAGGTGAATTGATGATCTTGGGGAAAATTTATGGTTGCATGTTGTTTTTGAGACTTGAATTGAGTTATTTTTGGTGCATGGGTGTTATTTTTTCCATTGCATGTTGAATTTTTTTTAAAAAATTCATAACATTTGATGTTTTTGGCCAAAAAGCATAATAGTTGATAGGCTAATGGCTAATGTTCTATTGTGGGGGAGACCTATATATCTTGTATCCCTTTATTGTGATTAATAAGTTACAACTCTTGTGGCTAATAGTTCTTATAATGATAATAAGATAAAACACTTATGAATGAGACATGTTGTACAAATTTTAATTAAAAATTGTGATATCTCACACGAGTATGTAAAAAGTAAGGAAAATTATGCAAAACCTTTCACAAAAAAGATTACCTAGGAAAATTGTCCTAGATATGATGAGGGAGCTGAGATTGAAGCCATGAGTGAAGGAAAATATGGTGGACACCCCAATTAGTGGTCAAATGAAACCATATGAATACTCCTATGCATTACGTTTCTCATCCTTATGACATATGATAATGCTTGATGTGAGGTTGAGCCATGAGTGCTTAATAGATACATAACGCTTAATATGGGTGGTGTTATAGAGACGTGCTTGAAGTATCTACCTACGTGTGTGTGAAGGCACAAGCTACCTCCCATGAAAGACCTTGTGTGACACCCTCTACCCCACATACATAATACACAATAAATATAAAGTACATTCTTGAGTAAATAAAACTTTCTTAAAAATAAGGTTTCAAAACACATAGATAGAGAGTTCACATTCATATTTCGCAAATCGTAGTCCAATGCGGAAATGATGATAAAATAAAACATCAATCTTTCCAAAACACAATAACAGTAATGAAACTCCAATGCTAAACCTAGCTAAGCCCCGATGTCACATATCCTATCAGAGCATGCCCAACTGAGGCTTAAGCCTCATCACCAACATCCTTATGTTGATGATCACCTGCAACACAATTTAAACACATACAAAGAACAAGGGAGTGAGAAATATCTCACTCGGTTCCAGGTGCAGAAATAAAGGTTAGATAACACACACAACAAACATAAGTCACATGTAAACAATACACATATACAATCAATATCACATGCACACTCATTTATTATGCAATGATGTCATGGACTCGACTCATAAATGCATGCATGTGGCGCCATACAGAAGTTTCACATTTCTCATCATTTCATCACATAGCTTGTTACATCACTGGTGTGCGGCCTAAGCGGCACACCTGAAATAAGTCATTTCATCACATAGCTTGTTACATCACTGGTGACCCTAAGGTACACCTTGTTAGCTTGTTACATCACTGGTGTGCGGCCTAAGTGGCACACCTGGAATAAATCATATATGCACCTGATGAATGTCACACATTCACTATTTCATTAACTCAACATTTCACTTGTCATGGAATTTCATGTCTCATATCATCACATTTCACATTCTCATAGTCATAGCTTATCTCCTTTTATCACATTTCACATTCTCATAGTCATAGCTTATCTCCTTTCATCACATTTCACATTCTCATAATCATAGCCTATCTCATTTCATCACGTTTCACATTCTCATTCACATCATGTCTCATGTCATTTGTTCATATTTTATATAGTCATATTCATAATTGTTCCTCATAGGGTTCCGTACAGGAACCCACAGAACACTTTAATTCATATCAAAACATATCTAATTTTGAAATCAAATACATATTTACACTTTACATCACACAAAGAACGCAACAGAGCATTCAGAAAGAAAAACAGAAAACATTCATATTTTGCCTGTTTCTCATAGGGTTCTCTCAGGAATCCACAGAGCACTATAATTCATATCTAAACATATTTATTTTCAAAATCAATCACATATTCATACATCACATCCAATAAGGAACATAACGAAAGAATTGAAAGCAAAACAGAAAATGTTCATATGTTTCCTGTTCCTAGAAGCATGCATTAGGCAAGAGATTGGGGGTCAATTCTACTACCCAACAATTATTCCCACACCCCGAGCGAGGTTTCTCACTTCCCCTTACCTGGATGAGCAGAAGACGAAGCTAGAGCAAAATTTGGTCAATCTCCTTCTCTTGGTTCTCCTTGGTCTCCAGAGAGCGAGTTCAGAAACTCTGTCAAAGTGCTCTATTTATAGATTTCAGTAGTGGACAAAATGTCCCGTTTTGAATCCGGAACGGTCCATTCCCGATCCTTTCATCATGTATTAAATTCTCATCTGGAATGGCCCGTTCTAAAACTAGAACATCCTGTTCTGAAGTTGCACTTTAACACATAATGGCCATGCTTGGAATGAACCGTTCTAAAACCAGAATGACTCGTTCTCAACTAGGGTTACAAGCCTTTTTGGTGATTTGGAACGGCCCATTCTAGTTTGGGAACGGCTTGTTCTG